ACAGTGCTTTTTCAGACAGGATGGCTGTCTGAGTGAGCCTTGATGTGGCTAAATACCTATACCTTTCCCACAACTCTGTACGTCGTAGACAGACCAAACTGCGTTTTAATGCTATACGTTATTTGGCGGCTTACAGTATTTTTAGGTTCGTCACTTAGTGTGTGGGTTACAATGTCCTCTGCACGGCAGTAACATGCAACTCGGTGGATAGTGAGCGGCGCCTTATCACATCTAGTAAATTATTGACCATGGTCGTTGCCGTCCCCCGTAGCTCAATGATCTCAACCATAGCCTGGTACCAGTCGTGTTGCAGGTTTGCTCCGTACCAGGTCCGATGGAGTGCGCTCTAATGGAAGTTCACGAAAGGGTGGAACCCGCGTCTATTGCATTTCAGGGCGTGTCGTGGCCTTCTGGGGAGTTCTAGATGTGAGGAATTTCTACCCACACTATTTTGGGATATTTAGCAGTTCCCATTTAGGTATGCTGATGCAGCTGAAGCTGCCTTAGAGACCATAGCTGAGAGAAACCTTACGAGCATGCTCTTTCGAGGTATAGGCTATCCCTCCTAATGATGAAGGCGTGAGAGTCGCGACGTCGTTTCTGTCTAACGACGATAGGAAACATGATTAAACATTCATAATTCCTCCGTTTAATTTTGTCTGTCAGGTTGGGGATAATGTATCCGCATTCGCAGAGAACTATGCACCACCAGGTATAATACATTCCTTGTCCCAGGAGAACTTTCCATAGAGGATCAAGTCAGAAGTGTCAAACCTTCAGCGAACTGCGTAACCTCAGAGAGAGCGGGGAACCTATAATAATGCTGTGGTTTCTCGTTGTACAGAAAACCTAGCTCCCCGCCAAACTGCAACCCTACTACTACGCACGCTCAAGGTAAATGGCGGATTTCGAATAAATAAATAAATCTTTTATTCTCAACAAGGTGAGGCACGCCTTTACAGACATGATCATTTTGACATAACGACGCATGATCAAGAATATGCGAACATCCGATATGTTTGCCATAGCAGTTTGTGTTTGTGTAGGGGGTATATATATATATGTCATGGTGTGTGTATATGTATGCAGCTGTGTGTTTTGTGCTTGTAGTTGTGCTGCTCCAATAGTAATTATAAACGTGATTATAAACGTGTGCGGCCTTACGACAAAGCTTGACCTGAATCCTCGTCTCATCTCTAGCCATCCACCAGATCTACCAGCATGTACTTGGACGTGATTGTCTTCAGAACCCCAGGAAGCAAAGATTAGCAAATCAGGCTAAGTTCGAGTATATGATCCTGCTAGTTTCTTGCGTGCCTTGCACATTCGAGAGCAAACGTTTTATTTTGTTTATTTATTAAACTCCCACGAGGTTATGTCCTTCGTTGGTGGACGGGGTTAGAGTAATACTGTACGCAAGCGCGCGTCCATAGTTGAATAAATAAATAAATAAATAAACCTTTTATCTTCGACAACGCGTGGCGCGCGTTTACAGGCGTGATCATGTTGTGATAACAAAGTGTAAACAATGGTGCGCAAAAATACAGCATGCTTGTCATAACAATGAAGGTGTGCATGGATATGTGTAACTGGGCGTAGGTGTAGCTTTATAGTTTGTGATGTTAAGTGTGTCAGTTTATTTGTGATTGTATGACAGCGACGGCCATGTAAGAATAGACGAGTAATGTCCGTGAATAGGACGTATTTTTCCAAATAACCACCGTGCACAGAAGTTAGTTGGTGGCGAGGCCTCTTCGCCAAGTGACAATGCTCATAAACGGACATTTTGTGGCTTTTTATAGGGAGAACGCTTGCCAGACAAAAACGTACCACGTCCTAAAGCACTGCTGCCGAACTATTTGCTGGACCGGGTTACACCCGAACCACCCAACTTGCACCAGGAGGAGGTTGTTCGGCTTGCCAACGACGGAGTATAAGATATATTGTGGTGTCGGATTCAGGATTGCTACCGTATACACCTGATGGGCGTGGTTTACGGAGCTGTACTGCGCTCAAGCCACCGCCTGTTGCGGTCAGCGCAAACTATTCGTAGTGGCGTGAACAGGGTTTCGGTGAGCAACTTCAATGCACCCAGTATCGACTAGAACCATTCTGAGCATGAACACTATCAAGATACCTGGGAGGTCGGCCTTCTCACACCACTCATGAATGCACCTGATGCGGCAATTCTCAACACAGAGGATAGCAAATCAAGCTCCACCCATGGATAATCCCATCCTTTCTCTAGTACTTCCTGCTATCTACGACCTAAACCTTATTCAACCACTTAGCCAAAGTGCCCATTGTACGCTCTGCTTTTTGTCGACTGGCCGTCCTGCCATCCACTACCGTGGAACGCATCGTGGTGACTACTGGAGTGTTGTCCAGTACATATTAAAAACAGTTACAGTCATTGCTAGCTGGAACCTCCCCCTCTACGGAATTTGGCGAAACATGAACCCACTACGCTCTAAGGTGATGGTGGCGATCAAAAAGCTGTTCCTATCTACACAAGCGTGTCCTACCCTAGTGCTCCCCTGGATCGACCGAGAGGTAAGATCCCTTATAAACTGTCGGTGCATAAGGTGGGAGGTACATAAGTCAACATAAAAGGCAACAGTCTAATTGAAGTACATGAAGATCAGAAAGCTTTGCACCCGAAACTGGCAACAGGAAGTGGCACAACGCTACATAACCTGGTCATGCCATAACGAACCTACCCGAAGAAACCTTTCTCGACGCTGAAGCGTAGCACTAAGGCACGCAGTGGCGGTCTTGCTCTATCCTCCCGATAGGAACTCCCAGTGTACTAACGTATGATGATGAGAAGGTTCATGTACTAGCTTTTCAGTACTCCATAAGCTGCACCGTGAAACCTTGGTTATCCTTTGACGGTCTGCTAAGACATGTGCTTCCTCTCGTGCAGGTTGAAGGCAATCCGAAGGTAGTCAACTTGCTTCTCGAAACGAACCCAAACTCCACGTCAGGACCTGCTAGACCACACCTATTAGTCTTCAAGACAAATAAATAAATGAACTTTTATTCTCGACAATGCGAGGCACACCAGTACAGGCATGATCATGTTCAGCTAACATAATGTGATCAAAATGTACAACAAGTACATGTTTAGCATAACAGTGAATGTAAGTGTATGGGTGTACATATGTATGTACTTGTCTATGAATGTAGCTTGTATTTTTGAAGGTAGGAATGTGAGAATAAACGATCGAGGTCCGTGAGTTGGATACCATTTTCCGGATGTCCACGGCCCAGTGACTTTATTTTGTGGCGAGTCACATCCGCCACGCCACAGTGTTGATAAGCAGACATTTGTAGCTTTTTATAGGGAGAACGCTTGCCGGGCGAAAACCCACCACGTCCTGGAACACTGCCGCCGAACTATTTGCTGGAACGGGTTAAACCCGAACCACCCAGCTAGCACCACGAGGAGGTTGTTCGGCTAGCCATTCTTGTTCGGCTAGCCACGTACTAAGTAGTGGGGCGCGCGCTAGTGGACTGCAGCTTACCACCTAAATAAACGGTGGGGATAAGGATGCCCAAATACAAAAGATGGAATCGGATTGCTCTTGCCGACTATCAGCCATTATACCTGGCGGCTGTAGTCCGTAGGGTCACTGAAAGGGTGGTCAACCGTTCTATCCAGTTTCACTGCGAATGCCTGTGGGTCATCTCCCACTTAGCCGGGAATATGCAGGGCACACTCTTGCCTCTCTGATCTGCTTGTTGCCAGTGAGTGACAGCTAAATGTTGTCTGCATCGACTGAGGAGTGGCGTTCGACAAACTGCCACACCAACTGCTGGGACCGCGTCACTAGAAACATACTTTTAAGGCATATAGGCTTCATGATGACTTAGGGTCTTCTCGTAAAGGAGAACCAAGCGCAGGCAGGCATGTGTTTATGGCTAGCGGCACACCCCTAGGCTATATCTTTTGGGCCGGCACCTTTCAACCTCTAAATTAAGGACCTTCCTGCCACACTCTAAGCCAATTTCGTAACTAATGTAATGATTGCGAGCTGTGATGAGAAGTATCTAGCCACGAGGACGCTGACAGATTTCAAACAGCGTTAAACAAGCCGCGTGCTTAGTACATCAAATTGCAAAACCCAGCTATCCAGAACAGCCAACTGGATTAGTTTGGTGCGTACCACCTTAGCGGGTACCTTCTCAAATATTGCACTCACAAAAAGGAGTAGGGGTTATCGTTTCACCCGCCTAAGAACATCAGAGGATGTACAGAGAAAGGTCGCGGCTACCAACAGGATGCTGTGTATTGTATGCATATCGTTCTGCCGAATCGCTACGACGGTTTTCAAAACCCTATGCATCTCGAATGTTCACCCGGTATGAGCTTCCAGTTGCCTAACCTCTTTTTAAACTTGAAGGCGCCTTGCTAGAAAAGGTTCAGATATGTGGCTCGCAACCTGCAACCGAGCCTCGGGATCATGCTTACATTTCAGTTTGTTTTCATGGCTTATGGCCGTCTTAGAGATCCCATATACACTCGCCGGAAGGCAAGGGGAGCACTTGTGCGTCCACTACCGAAACAACTTTGATCAACGTAGACAGCTCGGCAGGGGGCCTGTGAAGGAGCTGCCATATCCACCCGTGTAATTAATGACTGGAATAGCTTACCGCAGCTCCTCGCTGATGTACAGGAAGCGGAAAGCTTAGCTTGCCATATGATGCGTACCGCCGCATTTTGCTACTGCCACTCCAACGGTGATGCTCCCCTAAACAATGGCGCCTCGCATGCAGCTGAGGTACGCATGCACTAAATCGGAAGCTACGGAGCTGATCAGGGTCCACCTGGTCTCTACATGCCAACGAAACCAAAAATTGCGGTCAGCATAATCCCGTATACTTTATTTGCGTCTCAAACCGTTATAGAATTTCGTTCATAGATATCGTTATATTGACGGCAAGCTCAAGAATAAGATCCTAGTTTATTTTGTTTTAGTCATTCACAAAATTATTTCAAGGTACTATTTCAGTTTTGTAGAAACGAAATACGTATGTGATGTTGCGTAGTCGTCGTGGCTGATGATGAGCGCAGTGGCATGTTTTCGCTCAACATCGAACGCATTTGTTTGGCTATGTTATGTACAACCTTCGGTACTCGCAGTATGGAGTATGCTTGTATTCTATACCACGTATCCGTCGCTGAGGTTGGTGCTATTCAGAAAACCGGAAGTGCATTTGTATTAAAATGAGCATCTTAGAACTGAATGAAAACGCTCTGCTCAGTGAACTTAATCATATAAATTTCACTGAGAAGAAGCTCTTAAAACTGAACTCAAATATTTCCAATGCCCTCGAAAAGGATATTTTGAATTACTATCTTATGGGAGTTGCATCAATGTTAATCTGTTGCTTTGGAGCTACTGGAAATATTTTATCGCTTATCATACTTGTTAAAAGAGCAGTTGGAAGTCCTACAACAAATCTATACCTAATATCGCTTGCTGTTGCGGACTTATGTGTTTTGCTCGCAACAATTCTCACCGCCATCAAAGACTCAAGAAAGCCCGAAAAGGATCAGCTCAATATGCTGATGTGGCAGGATTCTACATTCATCCCAAGAGCATATCCGTATTTTCATGCCACTGCTATTTTATTCCAAGTTAGTGCAAATTTTCTTATTATGTTAGTAGACCAGTAACAATTTGGGTATGTGCGTTACATTGGGCCTTATGTAGTACTTCTCGAGCATTCTAAAGTTGTTGGTTGCACATGAGGCCAAAGTTGATGAAGCATTTTGTGGATAACATGAATTATTACTTATTAGACAAATATAATATAAAGGTTATAGATTTATGTTTATATATACACCGTTGTAAAAGCAAATTGTTAAGGTTATTTAACTAAATTTAACGCAACAACGCTAAATGAATCGCTTATAATAATAGTATTAACCCAATTCATGAATGCATATATACATTTCTTTCCCAATGTAGTAAGCACCCGACGGTGGCCGGGCAGTTATGGCCTGTGGCATATAACCCTAAGATCTTTGGTTCATGCTTGCGTAGGCATAGCCTGCCGTTTTTATGCATGGCCCGCAAGTGACTAATGACGATTTCGTGGCAGCGAAGCGTCAATCTGATCTACCTCCATATTGCCGCTTCCATTCCTTTATCTTAGTAAACTAGGCTTGTAAATTAATACCACCCTCGAGGAGAATTACGTCCAAACATGATTATATTATCTGTATTAATAGTCTCTAATAATTTGTTTATTGTGTCTGTCAAATTGGGTAAACATCGGTAGTTACATGCAGAGAATTTAAATTAAATTGAAGGTGAAGATCAGGTCAGGTCAGGTACCACGAAGTATACTGGATTTACCTAACGATCGTCCTATTTATTGTGTTGGTAAGTAAAACAGTCCCCAACACTTCGATCTTGGAGCTACTTTACTTGCTTCCGCCAAAGAACGAAGCAAGAACAAGAGTAACCTATGCACATTCATGTGTCAGCACCGAAATACACTACATATTCTATTATGCTTACAATATCTCTGGGTAAAGGTCAGACCAACACTTAGCTAAGCCTCTTTTTTAGGCATCTACCGTCGCACATTCCACTAAATCAGACAAGTTATTCAAGCTATCAACTACACGGTTTGTAAAACACTTTCTCTCTGCTGTCCAAACGAGCCCTACGTTGTTTTATCTTTAGTCGCTGCCCGCGCAATCTACGATAGCCAAAGCAATGAACGCGAATCACAGCACGATAAAACCATTACGACCAACGTGACATGCATTGGCGGTCCCAGCTGCACTGTCAGTACTGCCATCCGATAAATGCCCAACCTTTTCAATTTACATAGCTTTCGGGCGCCTAGTAAATGTTTACAGCAATTTGCCGCTCTATTATTTTAATTTTTACTTATTTTACTGGATTTATACGTCCTCTAACGGTATTTTTAAAGGACTGGCTGATAGGCGTCCGAACTCACTCCCATTGGCACGGATTTCGAGCTCCCAGAAAGTATTCTGCAGCACATCACCATGCAATTTACCTGAATTTTACAAACGCTACTCTGCTTTTTGTCGTTTTCAACCTCATTTCACACTAAACCATCAACCCTTTCCTTAGAAAGGTTACAAATGTTAACGAAATGTGCGTAATAAAGGACAGACTTTTTAAAATAGCCACGTACTCTGCGCAGGTGTTATTTTTAGGCTCGACTGGCAGGTTTGATGCTCTTTAACACGTTATATTTATCGCCTAAATTTAGTAAATTTCCGTACACAAAGCGAAATCTTTGCGCACAACCGCTTTTTCAAGCATTTACACGACTCACCAATAATTGTATATGTCAACAATGTGCCGGAAATGCGCTGTTTTGCATGAATACCTTTTCATTTCACCTAATATATCAATGCATTTGTCATAAGCGCGAGAATAAGGTTTTGTACACAGCTGGATAGTGACCTGCCATCAGGTTGTACGCTGTTGGCCATTTAAGCAAATCAGTGTATAACTTCGCGTATTACCATCTTCATGTCTTCTCGGTTTGTAAGCTTTTTTCCTAGTTGATGAACTCCTGGATAGAGTCTGTAGTGGTTATCAATATTTCACATTTTGTCTTTCCTAGCAGCAATTTTATGATGATCTCTTTTGTATAGTTTGTTTAAACTAACGATTACAATAGACTTCCTGATTATTCGCGCTCCATTTTTGGCTGTGCTGCTTCTGCATGTGCACGGTGCCGTTCAGTCTGCTTTTGCATTGGATATTAGTCGCGGAATTACTATCGAACGCCTATTTTCATCGTTTTCGACATATGTCACAGGTATAGCGCAATCTAGGCTTCGAACCCAACTGTGATTATAGAGTGAGTTGACTGTTTCCGAAGCTTTTTGCATTTTCTAAGAGACTAAAATTTTCCTAGTATCCCCTCGACCGCTACAATTCCATCGGTAATGGTACAGGGCAAGCGATATCTGGTCAGCCACTTATCCTGCAACAGTGTCTCGAGTCTGATTTCCACTGTAAGACAGAAATGTGCTCAAGCTCGCGAAGAAACTCATGTTTTAAGCGGTCTGGCCTACTAAGTGCAACATAATAAATGTACATCATCACAAATTACCACCCATTCCTTTCGTGGTAACATTTGTTGCTTTGTAATGCCCAATCACTGCCGCGGAAGGAGGAGATTGAGAAACAAGACTAAGACAATATGGTCCTAAAAGCTCTTCACTTGGAACTCAGCTGTGTCGTTTTCGAGTCGATAGTATTTGGCATCCAGCGTTGAAAATGCATCCAAATCCAACCTTGATGGTGGAAAAGACTAATCAGTGCCCATACCGTGGGAGGTAATTGCACAAAACTTCTTAATAGGAGTTTTGCACTCCAAGAAGTGGACGTTTTAGCTGGCAGTAAACCAAGAATAAGTCGTGCCTACATCTTGCGCTTTGTACCACGCTTCACCACGCAGGCGTCGTTACTTGTCGGGATCTCTGAGAACAGCAGGAATGCTTATTTGAGACGTTTTGAAAGCAAGCTTCTCTAGCACAAAACAATGAATTACCGTCTGGAAAGCCTTGGTAAAGTCAAGATAGCCGACTTCTGTTGGTATTCCATTGTCGAGACAGCGGGTTCTTTTTTCTGAAAAACATAAGGGATTGAAATAGCGTGACTACTTCCTGACGATTCTATCCTTCTCTTATCCTCTCACGTTATGAGCAGCTTAATACTCACAAACTTGGTTGCAGTCAGCTGAGCAGAACCCTTTTGCAACCGACAGACCTATGGTTGACGAGTATGGTTTTAGAGTCTTTTCCCTTCAGTCACGATAGCTGCCTCCTTTTGGTCTTATGGTAGTCTGCCTTCTCAAAGTGATTTGGCGATCAGATCCAGTACAGGATTTTGTGCATGTCAGCTAGAGGCTTGAGAATGGGAAGACGCATGTTGCCAAGTCCGCCCCATTTATGTGAGGCTAAGTTGGCCATTGCGTCGAAGAACTCGGATGTAATTAGGATGGTAGCTAGCACTATAATCGCGATTTAGCGACGTGATTTTGAATGAATAGGACGCGCATCATCCGCACGGCACACGTTTTGGAAGCCGCGCAGCAACAGCTGTGCCTTAGCCGCGCCCTTTTTACCATATCTACCTTCTCACATCATTAGGTTACTAATTTCATCACTTACAGAATCCCTCGACCAAACGTAAGTATAATGAATCTGCGATCTTGCTATTGACTTTTGAGATAATTTAGGTTTAGCAATATTTCTCCTGTCTATGCAATTTGACCGCCGAATTTCTGCATCTTTTGTAATGAACTCATCGTGTAAACCATCCGGATTCCTGAAGATTTTTCAGAGGATCTTTGCGTCTCTTTAGCACTCGACAAATCACATGACCCCACCATCGGGAAGTAATAGTGTTTTAGAGGGCGTAACGGAGCAAACTCATCCACTATCTGCACAATCCCCGTTTGGATAAGGCTCCACCACTAACTTAACTTATTTTGATTCGGTACAAATTCAGTGGTCACGCTTGTCTACGGGAACCTCAACATGTATTTCTGACAAGTGATTGTATTTGGTTCTAACGACATATAGCGGCAGAGTACAACCGACACTTCCTTTCATCGGTAGCTAACGTACTGGACGTACTTGTATACCCTTTCCACCAGTTCCCACTCCGTAGTGTCCACCGTGTTAGTAACGTTCTTACCACCTGCATGCAGAAGTTTCAAATCTCCGTTAAGCACAAAGTTGGGTACAATTACCACCGCCTGTTTAAGCAGCTCACAATGCTTCTTATCCTCCACTCATGTTGAGTAGGGGCTGAAGTACACACAGGTGTATATTTCCACCCAACCCTCCATTGTCAGCCTGGCTGCGTTATGCCAACGATAAGCTCTATCTAATTTCATTACCCATATTTTCAAACCTCTACGTTGTATTGGCATCATTCAATAGCACCGCGCGCTTAGTAGTCAGATAAAACCTAGTTCAAATGGGACTGGCACGGTATGAAAACTCTGTGCGTGTTTTTTAGTGTGTCGCTGATAAGGAAGTACATAGAATTCTTTGTATTCTTAGCGAACTTACAACTTATTACCCCGGTAAATTAGTTAATGCCAACGTATCCGGCATCGGGAATCTCCACTGTGTCAGTGGCATGCAATGAGATAGATTAAGGAAAGCAAACTAGGAAGAGAAATCTGGAATTTTGTTTACGCGAAGAACAATACGAAGGTTTGTGGGTAGGTAACAAGTAAGTTCAAACGTAGGAGTCATTCCGGAGAAAGGGTTATTTTGTTATTTCGGCTCACGTGCACCTGATTGACACAACTTTTTACCGAGCAGGCTCGATCACGACCTCACGGAACAAATTTCAACTTTCGATAACTCAACGCAATAAACAGGACTTCTTAACCTCCTCGTAGGGACCACCAAGCTTACATAGCTGAGGCTGCTTATATAGGTAGGACAATTCCGTCTTGATTTTACCAGTGCGAATGTAGTAGGTAAGAATCAAGTCCACACGAGTCATCCGCTAGTGCATTTAGGTGCATTTCCAAACCAGATAGACGCCACGGCTATGGCTGTACTCTTAATCCGTAGACCAACTCTCAATACTCTTTCCAGTTACATTTTGTCAC